TAATCTATATATTAAAAATAAAAATTAAAAAACTAAAAGAATCATAAAAATTATTCGGTAATTTATTTTGTTTAATTGGTTAATGGTTTTTAATATTTCTTAAACGAAAATTCAGTTCTGTGCCCATCCCTTAGTCAATGTTAAGTATAATTACCTGTTTTATTCGGTAGGATATGTAAATACTGATAATATTTTAATCAAGTCAATAGTCATTAATTTAAAACTTTTAGTTTGAGGTTAAGTAACTAATGCTGTGGTTTTTTTTTTAAAAAACAAAAGTTGCTTTCTTTTTTCTTAACACAGGAATACGGGGAAAGGGAATTTTTACAAAGTAAAATTTCGAAACTGGGTACCCCAACCATTGCAGGCAAAGCTGTGGGTGTTAAAAAAAGAAAAAAACGAGAGAGATAGAATAATATCTTCTTGAATTTTTGCTTTCAACAAGAACAGAGATTGCAGGGGTCCAGCAGTGTTAAACAAGTCAAGGTTACTACCACTGGAAAACAAAAACTTATGATTTGGAGTCATGTGTACGCATTAGCAAGTGGGGTTCTGGAAATTGTACAGGATCCTTTTTTTTTTTTTGGTATATACTATGGTGATAAATTATACAAGAGGAGATATTTTCTTTTTCTCAAATTACTTCTCATCCTGACTCAATCTTTGAACTTGTGATCCTCCAATGTGAAATTTTATGCTAGCAACTCCTCACCGTAAAAGATTGTACATGATTGTCAAAATAGAAAAGCATAAAAATCAGAAAATTGGAGAGATAAAAAATTGGAAATGAACACTTGCAACAGAGAAGGGGGGGAAGGTTTAATTTAGAAACTATGATCTTGGAAAACAGCTTCAAAACCATTCATTATTCGTTTGAATGATTGAATTCACATTGATTTTGGATAATTAGATTGAAATTGACTTAATATATCTATGCATGTGGGTATAACTATAATTCACATTTGCAACTTCAGATGGACTAATTTAATCTATCTTTCAAGGCATGAATGGTGAAATCTCTTCCTGGTACATGAGCACCTTAGTAAGTTCTCTTGACAAAAGAAATCGCACTCGGATCTCCACCCCATTCTTCGAAAACAACCAATAAATTCCCTGTTGGTCGCAGCCAGGATCGAGGAACATGGTACCTGAAAATGCACAATTAGCCAACAGTCAATATTGTCCGGATTTGCACCAAGAACAGATATCTTGGAGGACAAGTAAAGTCTTCCACTCACCATTTTTGAGAGGGCCCTCCACAACCAGATAGACATTTAGTCTGGTTGTATGTTCCGGCATAAGAACACTGGTTGCAGCTGCCAGAAGCTTTATATGCAGGCCAGTGTCGCCCAATGCTATTTCCATTTATCCAGATTTGGCCTTTACTCATGTAACTCATATCCAGGGCTAATGGATCATTACCTCCTGGTGCATCAAATGTTGTCTAGAGAAAGATACCACACCATTAGCAAAGTACTTTAAAGCAATCATATATGTGTTAAGTACATTTTTTTGATATAGAAGGATGGTTCTTACCTTATACCATGTTAATGGCCGCCTTTTAGCCAATGATGTTCCTGATGCCCAGTTAACGGAAGAGCTTCCCTGGTTTGAGTAAAGACCCAAAGCTTCACCCTCTACACCTATCTGTTCAGAATAACGAGAAATTAAGAAAACAATTCTTTTAGACATCTTTGGACATAAAGTAAAGAGTTTGAGTGGCTCATGTAGGAACACAGACCTTGTAAGACCATTGCCACTGAGACATGTCCCAAGTTCCTGAATTCAGACCTTTCAAGGTAACAGGTCCTAGGATCCCAATGTTCCATTGTTCAAAATGTGTGCCAATATTCTGAAATCAATCATGTAAAAGTATCAGGAACGAGATCTGTAAGCTTTGTTGTTTCTGAAGACTAAACAATTAGCTTGAGAAAGAATTTACCTGGAGTCCTGCTGAAATGCTTAGCAAAGAAATCTGGTTAAGTCCAGCTTTTAGGTTCACTTGGCCGCTAAATGTTAGTCTTGGATCATCGATATTCCCATAAACAGTTCCTGACAAGGAATTAAAAGAAAAGAAAAATCATTATATGTTAACAAAAATCATTAAAATTTAAGATTCAGAGAAGCAAATTACCTGCTAATTGACCATTGATGAAAACATGCAAAGCATGGCCTGCAGAAGCAACTGTGAGAACAGGAAGCTGTCCATTCTTCAAAAATGCTTCATTGTTGTTTATGTTGACACTGATTCAAGAAAAGATTGTTAACAAAAAATTCAGAAAACTACTACTAATAATAATAATCGAAAAGATTCAAAAAACACCATAGTTATTTGCTTACTTTGTCATGTACCACAAGTAGTCTGTAGTGTCCCAAGTGACACTTAGCTGCTCCCTTAACCCATTTGCTGTAAATGATTTCTTGTCATCCACAGAAGGAGGTGCTTCAGTGTATGATTGCCAAAAGAATGCGGTGCCTACAGGCGTCATTTGCAAATGTTTTCCAGGGAAACTAACCTGCACATATTTTCTAGCATTAGCATCAATTTCCTTAATTGAATGTGTTAATGTCATGAAATTTGCACTGTATTCCACTATGAGGTCCTGTTTGGGCACATGAATCTCATGGTTTTGCCCTCTAAGACCTCATTCAACTTCATTGCAAAGTATTAAAAGGTTCAAAGAAGGTTAAGAGTATTTTCTTCACCATTGCAGTGTTGAATACAACATTCTTGCAGTCAGGGAGTATGCTGATGGACCAAGGAGGCAGATTATACTGCACATTTCCAAAGTTCACTTTGACAGAGTATTTTGTATCATAGTTTGCTAGGAATGCAGCACAAGCTCCTCCCCAGCTGTAAACATGAGCCTTGATACAGAAAATAAAGGTCAGATGCAAATTAAGACAGAGGGGAAATCAAAGAGATATATTTCAATTCCAGATGCTTGCAAAAGAACAAACCTCTTGATTATTTCCCAGTGAAGTAACTGTGGGATTTGCATTGACTAAAGCCGTTTCACAGAGCTTGATAGCCTTATGTAAATTCCTCAAATGGCTCCATTTTGGTTCCCTCACTAACCCTGTAAGTTAAATCATAGATATAGTGGTTAAATTGGACATATAGTCCCATTGGTCAGTATGAAATTTCTCAAGCTGTTCTTTTTGCTGTACCATATTCATCAATAGGAGCATCATAGTCATAGGAAGTGGCAACAAATCTACCAGCTGTCCTCTCAAAATTTGTTCCTCCATGATACTATAGAAGGAAGAAAGAAAAGGGTTAACAAAGAAGTTAGAATCTAAGCTCAATTCATATTGCTAATGAATGTATACACAACAGATAATGTTAATTAATTTACCATATAATAATTCACGAACGTGCCCTTGTTCTGTATAAACCTTGCAACTGCAAATGCCATGTCCTCAACTGGTCTATACGGAACAGCTTCCCCAAAACCAAGCAACCTGTGAAGATAAGTCATTTAACAGTTCAAAACAGACACAGAAGTAGCTGAAAACAGTAGGACTTAATGCATACCAAGCAGTCCAGAGTTCTGTCCACATTTTCGGTTTGTAACCCTGATTGGGAAAGAAATTTTCACAATAGAAACCATTGCAGCTGTTTATCTGTCACAAAAACAAGAAAATCATAATGAAAGTAAGCTCCATTTGAGGAATATGGCTTGTAAAGTGTCATGAACTGCTTACAATTGGGTCAGGAGCATCAGCTTGCTTGCACATGACCCACGGAACACCAGTGCCAAGACCTACAGCCATATTTGCTGCCCATTTAGCATAAACTTTCCCCGGATTGCCAATGTCATATTCCATCAATTCATATTCATTCTCTATCTGTTGTTGTAACATTTATGAGAGAATTAAACATAGTATAGAACAGAAGAAATGAGAAGCCTGGAAAAGAAAGCAATCAGTTTCCTTACTTGACTCAGAATTATGGGACCTCCTTGGGATTCAAACAATTTTTCTGCCTTCATCATATTCACAATCTTCTGTGTAAACCCTTGCATTGCTGCCTTGAACATTTTTGAAATTGTGTAATCAATATAAAGTAGACTAAGTAAAAGTTAAAAAAAAAAAAAAAAGGTACACAGAAAGTGTATGTCCATACCTTGAAAGGTGCATTATCTGTTCGGAATTCAATGCCAGGAACATATTTTAGCCAAACAGGAAATCCCCTGAAAGGAATAGTTATTGAGAAATAAAAAAAAAAAAAATAGAATCGAAAGGGAATTGGTGGGATTCAAGATGGAAGGTTCTAATATCATGTGATGAACTAGTTCAACAAAAAACTTGACCCTGGGAATATTCACCAAATTTAGAATTGAGGGTGTAAACCTTAGTTATTTTGAAGAAAGGACTCAATTTTTGTATTAGTTGAGAAAAAGGACACAAAGCTACAAATAAAGATAATTTGGATAAAAAATTGACTTATTTTCAGATAACTAGTTCAACTAACAAACTGGCAATTACATAATATGAAATAAGGTTTTGATGCAAATTATGACTTTACTAGATATTAAGTATAAATTCTCTATCCAAATTATCATTTCTTTCTTTCTTTCTTTTTTTCCCAACAAATTATCCTTCAATGTATGGTATATCACTGCACTTGACTCTTTGGGCCAAGTAGCCTTTTTGGGCCAAGTAGCCTTTGAGCCACCTTAAAGATGCAGTCCTCCCTTTCTTGGTGGGTTCGAAGTTCGAATCCCACCCTTGTCACTTTGGTCAAAAAAAAAAAAAAACGTATGGTATATCACTAAAATAAATTAAATACAAAATGTCTAAATTATATGTTTGGCCCCTTATCTTATTAAGTTTGAAGCTTTTAATCTTTTATCTTATACTATGAAGTTTTTAGCCCTTATGTTTATAGGTTTGAAGATTTTAACTCCTAAACTAATGGAATCTATTAATTTTCCGTTAAAGTGAGAATAAAATATTTACAAAATTAGTCATAAAAGATTAAAAATGTAACAAATTAGTTCTAAAAGTTTAAAAATTAAAAAAAATTAGTAAACTAAAAGGAATTAATAGATGGCTTTTTCATATATGCATGAACAGTATTAGATATTTATAATAAATCAAACAATTAGGTCAATTTTAAGAAAGAATTTTGACTAAAATTAAAGAAAATTTTTTAGTTGAATTAAGACAAAAAGTTTAAGAAACTAAAAGAATATAACAAAAAAATTTTCTTTAATCTCAATTTGATTTCTTTCTTTAGATTGAGCTAATTACTCGATTTGATTGAAGATATCTAATACTATTTTCATGTATGTGGCAAAGTCATCCATTAATTATTTTTAATTTATTAATTTTTTTAATTTTTAAATTTTTAAAACTAAATTGTTATATTTTTTATCTTTGAGAATTGATTTTATAAATATTTTATTCTCATTTTATCTGATAATTAACAGATTTTATTAATTTAGGGGTTAAAATCTTCAAATCTTTATATTCAAAGGTTAAAAACTTCATAACATAAAGTAAAGGGCTAAATATTTTAAACTTATAAAGATAAGGGGCTAGACGCATAGTTTAGCCCAAAATTTAAAGAGCATATATGGTTGGTGTAACGACAATTCTTATGTCCGTTCATGAAAATAACACCAAATTTAGGAGAATACTTAATAAGCTAGAAATTATAAACAAGGCTATGATAAGATTCATTATTTTTTTTCTGAATTAAGAAACAATTATTTCTTGACAGAGTAGTATTAGCGATTTTTATTTTTTTATGATCGAAGGTATTAGCTTTTTTTTTTTTTTTTGGTGAAATTAACCATTTGTTAGTTGTTCCCTTGATTTAGAAGAAAATGACTACCCTTGTCCCTTCCTTTCCTTTATCCTAATTCCAAGTACTTGTTTCTCTTGTATATTTTTATGAGTCAACCAAGTAAATAGTCATTTCACCAACCAAAAACATCCTTTTAAGAGTCCCTTCTTTAATTATCATAAAGGCTCACTAACATATATTATAATAATATTATTTTTAATAATATATATAAACAAAAATATTTAATATAATTTAAACTGCATCGAACTGTATTAAATTAACTCTTAATTTGGAGTGAACTTCTTAATATAAGTAGATATTCCCTGTTCAAGAGCCCAAACAGTAAAACAGGACTCTAATATAAAATAAAAAAGTATTAATCTTCAAAAGTTTCAATTACCCCAAGTTCCATTCTGCACACACATAGGGACCAATCCGGAGATGAACGTAAAGTCCTGCTTGTTGAATTAATTTGATGAATCGAACTAGATCATATCTCCCTTGAAAATTATACTGCAAAAAAAGAGAGATAAATTTCAAAAAATCCCACCAAGGGTTTTATTAATATACATCAACAAGAGAAAAGGAAAAAAAAATAAAATTCATTATTAGATTGATTTCATATTACTTTTCCTTGTGAAGGTTCATGTCCATTCCAAAAAACATAAGTCTGGATAACATCCAGCCCTCCTTGTTTGGCATTCTGAATGAGGCCAGGCCACATCTGCAAATTAAGAAAAAGAAATTTATAAACACTAGAATTTATATACATTGAGATATAACTATATTTTCAAAAATCAAAATTCAAAAAAAGAAAAAAGAAAAAAGAAAAGAAAAAAAACCTCAGGTGTGCTTCTTGGGTAATGAATGGACCCCGAAATGAGAATCCTTCTTTTTCCATCAATAATAATGGCATGTCCGTCGTAGGAAACTGTCGCCGTCACAACATAAACCCAACCACAGAACAACAAGAGCAGAAACATGCCGGATTTCAACATGTTTAACGTTAAGAGTTTCTCATCCATGGCCGCCGGCCTGTCTTACGGTACTGCTTTTTGATCTTCAGTTGCAGGATCACAGCACAATCTCTACTCTTATATATAGACATATTTGCAAATGGATATGGATGGTCTACATAAGGTCTGAAAGCTTGAAGTAATTCATTTCATTTCAGCCGCCCGTAATGACGTGTTTAGGTGTAGGAGTGAGCATATCGAAGTTAGTAAACCCCAGACGCATTTCTTTGTCTAATTTTCCTACCAAATAAAAAAAAGGGGCAGATTCTGTCTAACTAAAGAAGGATTGTGACAATATTTGTATGAAAACAGCCTTTTGTTTTTTAAGGGATATCAATTATTTTTAGAATTTTTTTAGGACTAATTTAATTATATTGGTTATGTCCTTCCAACTCTTTGAATGATGAATTGAGAGAGAGAAAAGAGAATAATTGGACAAATTTGAGAGCACGGTACTTGCGTGTATATACATTTGCTGAAGCGTGGCTTTCACAATATTGTGGGACATGCTTTTTAGTTTTAGTTCCAAAAAAAAAAAAAAAAGCAATTGTCGTGGGGCATGCTAGATTAAGAGACCATTAAAATCCTTGAATTTTATGAAAATTAGTAAAAAAAAATCTAAAATCTATTTAAAATAATCTATCTAAAATAGGTATAAATTTCATTTACTATTAAATTTTAAGGTATATTTGGTTTAAAAAATAATTATATTTTATCTGATTATATTTTATTTCTCTTAAAAGAAACAAATCTTAATTTACTTCTATAGGAACATTAAAAGAAATATGTGATCCATCTTGAGATTAGAAAATTCTTATCACTTATTCAAGACATCAAATTTTGACTAATATATAGAACAGGAAAAATGAGCAAATAAGCCCCTAAAATATTTTGTGTTTGTAAATAAGCATCTGAAAAAATTTTGATAGCAAATCAATCCCTAAACTTGTACGCAACAACAAATATTAAGTCAAAAGTGGACAGTAAAGCTGATGTTGCCATGTAGTGGCTTTTTCGTAACTATCTAGTCTCTAGTATAAAAATATGATTTAAATGGAGTTCAACGTGAGTTTTTGCTATAAATATTCTCTTCATCTAATTTTAATAGGTTTAATTTTTTTTGTTTAATAAAAAAATATAATAATTAATTAATAAAATTTTATATTTTTATCTAATTGTTTGTTTGGCTTGAAAAAATAGGAGGGAAAGGGAAAAATTTTTATCTATTTAGTTAGTAAAAATATATTTGGGGGAAAGTGGAATCCTTTATTTTTTACTTTAATTCTTTCACTTATCAATGAGGTGAGGGGAGAAGAGAGAAATAGAGGAAAAGGAAATGGAGGGGAGGGGAGGGGAGGATGTCATATCCTTCCATTGCCCTCCCCTACCCTCCTCTCAGTTTCTTTAAAGCCAAACATACTGTAATATATCCCTAATTAGATAAGTTTTTATTTATATATGTTGTAATTATATTTTTCTAAAATAAAGATAAAATATAAATAAATATATTAAATAACATTTTAAAAATAAAAAGTAGATAAACAAAATTAAAATGCCTTAAATTAGAAATTAAGTCTACTCCTTTTGTTCCAAAATAATTGTTATTTTTTTAACTTTGAATTTATCACATATTAACACCGTTTTTTTTTTATTTTTTAAAATAGACATATATTAGTTTCCAATTTAATCCTATCATTATCCATTTAGTTTAATTATTCATCATATCACAAAAAAAAATTAACTTTATCTTTTATTTTTTTAAAGAGTAATATAAGTAAATATATAAATTATTTTCAAATCTTTAATTTAAAGAAAAAATAAAATAATTACAATAATTTTAAAACAAAAAAGTATTAAAGTTGAATGGAGGGGGTAAATATCAATGATAGCTTGCTACGTAAAAAAACTAAAATAAAATAAAATAAAAGAGCAAACTAACAATTCTACCCATTTTAATTAGAGTTATTTGCTCTCTTTTTTCTAAAAAAAAAATTTATATAAATTCACCGCCAAAATTTCATAAAGAGCTTGTCCAGTTTAAAAGAAACTAAGGGGAGAGGAGTAACAAGTACCTGTTTAGTATAACGGTTAAAATTTAACAAATGATAGGTGATAGATAATAAATAGTGGTAGCGGATGAAAAGTAACAGATAGTAGGTGACGATTAGTAAATAATAGATATCAGATAATAGAAAAGGTAATGCATAGTAGATAACAAATTTTAATTGATATAGTTATTTTGTTTTATAATGGTTAACGATTATTGTTTAACATTAAATTACTAATAAAGATATATTTAAAAGTAACTAAGTGTATTATTTATTTATTTATTACTAAAATTATTAATTGTATAAATAAATAGTAATAATAAAATAAATTATAATAATATAATCACAGATATATTTCTACTTTTAACAAAGAAAATATTATATTTTTTAAATAAAGAAAAAACAAAATTTTAATCATTTTATCTAATTAACAAAATTTTTTTATTAAGCTAATATAATTTTTTATGATAAATTAATGTATAAAATAAAAATACAATAATCACTTAATGTTATTAAAGAGTTTAAACGAAATTAAAACTAATTACATAAACATTAATTAAAAATCGTGGTAAAAAATTAAAATAAATAAATTTATTAATAAAATTAAAAAATTATAATCCCTAGCGATTTGGTATAAAAAGCAAATTTAATCTAGTTTTTTCAATTTGCTAGCAATTTGAGTCTTAATTGCTATCTGCTAGTCCTAAACCACCATATAAAAATTTTTGCCAAATATTTAATTAGTAGTGATTTTAAAATAAATAAGTTTACTAAACAACTATCATTAGTGGTTTAGGCAAAATAGTTAACCATTACTCTCAAATTATTATATCAAATGGGCCCTAAAGAGAATTAAATTATAAATGATTGATGTTATTATAAAAGAAAAAAAGAAGAGCATCTAATCATGCAATAATTCATATGATTGTTGAAGGAAGGAATGTCACACTATGATGAAGATTGATAAGAAAAGAGGAATCAATTTATCAATTAATTGATTTCAAGAATTTGGTATCGGTTGTAATCTCATTAATAAAAGTTTTTTAATTAATTATTATTTCCTTATATTATTTATCCCTTCATTCTATAAATATGATTGCTCATATATAAGAAAAAAAATGAAGAAAAACAAATGCACAAAACCTACAGAGGTTTTTGTAGGCTACAAGGTTTTAATATATCATAACATCCTCACATTATTCCAATCCACATAATATCATTCTAGTATTATTCCAAATCATATAATATCGTGTCTTCCTCTCTCTCACACTTATTTTTTATTTTGTTCATTTTATTATTACGTTATTATAAAATTTTTACTATTAGAGATTTTTCTTTACCATGTTAAAAGTTTCTTCAGGAAGGAGAGGGAAAACTTTTTGTCCAGTCAAATTAAGATTTTAACCAAACATTTTTATTTGATTAGATAAAAAATTTTCCCTCCCCTCCTCTTTATTTTCCTTACACCAAACATTTATAAATTATCAACAAAATATTTTAGGGGTTGATTAGCATAATTTTCGTATTAGTATAAAATATATATGGAGCAAACTCTTATAGAATAAACAAGAATAATTTGAATTGAATCATGTACAGGAATACCATAGGCAGAATTTTACTTTAGTGAGGTCAACACTATATATATATATGTGTATATATATATATATTTAGGTAGAACAACACTATATATATATATCTGTATAAAATAAATGTATATTAATCTCAACTCTTAAAAAATT